GCCTCGGCGCGCGAGCCGGCGCGAATCACCTGTCTTGCCGCGTCCGGCAGCCCGTTCACGAATGCACAGGACAGGGTCCGGTCCGGCACGCCACCGAACAGTTCAGCCAGCCGCCGCAGGTCCGCCAGGTAGACGTCGGCGGACTCGCCCGGCTGAAGACGACGAGTGACGAAGGCATCGTAAGCCGCGAAGCTGTCCAGGGCGAACGCCGCAAAGAGGGCAGACTTGACGGCTGCCAGGGAGGCTCGATGATCGACCGGCAGCTGAGCCCACACGGCGAAGGCTCCACCGGTGAGACGCAGGGGGACCACCGCTCCAAAGTCCACGCCACGGTGGGCGCACAACAGTTCCGCGCGGGTCCACCACTCTACCACGTCTGTGGTGCCGTCAAACTCCGCGATCACGCGGACGTCCAAGGCACCCGCGCTCACTGCACTCGCGGACACTGATGGCACCTCGTCTCCAGCCATGGTAAGGCCGAAATAGCTTGTATTTGTCCGATAGCGCGAAACGGGCCACTGCACACGCGAGACGGGCCACCGCACACTCCCAGTCACACAGCGCGAGAGCCCACCCGGTCCTTCCGTCCCCAGACCCCCTGTCGTCCCGCCTCTGACAGTGAGGCCCGGTACAGTCCGGGGCCCGGTACAGCCCGGACCAGGTACCGTCTCCAACATCGGCGCCGGGGACGGGATACCACGACCCCGGTATCACGCCACAGACCGCGCCGCCGCACCGTGTTTTAAAGGGACCCTCCCACCTTAACATTAGATTTGAGTTGAGATAGCCAAAATGGGGTCCCTGGCTCACAATTACCGGTTTCGGCACTCACAACATCGAGAAATGTCTTAAATCGGAAATATTGAATTTCAAAATTGCAGCATTTTGATTCAGAGGGGCTAATGCTTAGGAATACCCCTCTGAATGTGTGACGTCAGCGCAAATATCTAACGATTTTTAAATGTTTGACTAAAACGTTTTGTAGCACGCGGTGGTATATGCTATTTGCGCGCAACATCTGCCGCAAACGCCGCACTTCTAAAATAAAGTCGCTAGAAACAACAGAGATCCCAAAAAAGTAAACAAAAGTAAAAGTCTAATATCTTGAAAACCGGTGAATATTTTTCGGTGAAATTTGGTAGATATTCGTTTTCGCTCTTTCTGAACCGAGCGACATCACTTTCATGCCAATTCATAAACTTTTTTGAAGGTGGGAGGGTCCCTTTAACTCTGGCCAAAAACTGGCCAGGACGCGAAATATCGACTATTTTTAAACGTTTTCATTTGGCCACTATCGTGTGCAAAAATGATCAGAGCATCTTTAACGACGGAAACTTTTATTCTCTTTACTTTTGAAAACGTTGAAAATGTACAACAAAGTCAGACAACTCTCAAAAGCTAAACTTCGGCGAACAAACGCAGAAACAGTCGCCTTGCTCCACGTCAACATCTTCGAGCTTTGGATTGACACAACTACATAATTTGGGTACCAAACGATAGCGCGAACTTTTGGCTTTGTAATGAGTCATAATTTATACAATTATATTGCACATAGGTGTTGCATTTATTGATTTCCGTCAGCCCTTACATTGCCACACTTTTTTGAAAAATGTCAATGTTCTTATAGAGCTACAAAAAATTGTACGCTAGTGTACGGTCTCAGACTACCACCACACTGTGGGTCAAGGATTTGTCTACATGTCCTCAAAATTTCAGCTGCGCCTGAGTGCGCCGGTGTTGGGGGTGAACACTTTTTTGAATGAATCATGTCTGCTCCTGCTGAGCCATGGGACGGGTCCTAGCGTGCGTTAAGGGAAAATGCTAGTACTCCTCGTTCATTCTCTCGTCTGTTGTGACGAGTTGGTGGCCCATGGAAGGTCGCCGACCTGTGTGCGACCTGCCGTACCCTGGGGCGTAATCAGCTGACGGCACGACCCCCCACGACACGTGCCAGTTGCATTTTCATGTGTCGCGAGAAGAAAACAAAGGGTCTCCGGAACCAGAGACCAGACAATGTCGGTGAATGACAGTTGTTCATTCAAAAACTGCTAGCATTCCTATGAAACATACATTTCTTAAATATTAACATTATTATCGGTGTAATTAATTGTGTATACTTATATATAGTACCTGGTCTATAACAGGAACTTTCCACCCCATGGCTATTGCAGCAAATTCATAGATGGGCTCTGGAGCTGTATGGTCGCTACTCATGCTTGCTTGGTAGTTTATAAACATATTTTTGTACCTGATGGAGCGCAATTAAATATTCATTGTGCCCAGTTTGAGATGGGACTGTGAACTGAAAGGTGACTGTATGAGACCTGCCACAGCACGCATCGCTGATCACGATGATCGGCTTTTGATCGTCCATCACCTGTTTGCGTTCGGCAGGGTTACTATCGGCCTCTTCAGTCAGTATTAATACGTTCGATGTAGGTGGTATGGTATCATTAGTGCTGTCCAGTGTCCACCTTTATGAAAAAGTGTCCGTTTGCTGCAGTAATACGAGTATATGGCAATGAAGTGCTTTTACGTGCACGTTGCATGGTACATAACGCACCATACAATAGGAATTGGTAAGATGTTTGGGATACATTCTACCATTTCACGTCATGCCATGGCGGATCCAGTGAAGGGCATAGTGGGTATTTGCCCTCCCCATAGCTGAATCGTGTGGGCAAAACTATCCGTTTGTCGCTCCCAAAGCTTTTGGTGATGATAAATACCTACCTATAATACGGCGTCGATGCCTATCTGGACGAAAAGCAGGTCTTTCCGTCACAACCATTCTGAGGGATGGAGCTGACCGCTCGCTGCTCATTATTTAACTCGGTATGCTGATAACAGATGGAACTCCCTGAACTGCACGCATTCATATTGCAGACGTAGTGAAGCGTTGTAAAGTCACCGGCGCGGCGGTGGGTCGGGGTCACCGAATGGGTCGGAAACTTCTGCCCTCTCCAAACGGATTAGCTGGATCTGCCCGTGAGTCATGTGACGTAAAACATACAAGACTCTGGACTTACTAAAGTGGAGACCGGGTTAAAATCAAGTTGATATCAAAATATACGTTTGGAAATGTTTTTTAAATAAATATAAAGATTGTAGGTCCTACATATATGAATAAGTCCTATACCTATTAGAGTATTCAAGGTCACCTGAGGTCATCAACGCTAATTAACAAGGTCATGTCCTCAAACTTGACTTGCCTCGTCGATGAGCCTTGCTCAGACTTGCGATTACTCTAAATTTACAGATACCTAAATGTTCGTGCATTCATAGCTAGAACATGACAATATTTTTATATGTTTCGTGACACTTCTGACGTCATAAACAAGTACATAAGCATCTGGTCCGACACATTTTGCACTTTAAATGATCGGTAGTCTCCAACGTTTCGTTTGAGCCCAAAAACATGTCTGTATCTTATATAGTTTCTTAGTTATGAGCCCTGGCCAGTTTTGGTCCCGAGTTAAAACATAGTGCGCCGCCGCGCCCGTGCGCCGCGTTCAGCACGTGGGTCACGTGCAGAGAGCGGAGCAGAGGCAGGCAGAGCGCGGTGGAGCGGTCAGTGGTGGTTGGCCGGCTATTCATCACGTTTTGACGGCTACCTACCCTGTCATGACCAAGATGTCAAAGTGAATAAAATCCTTAAATTTGCCTGTTATGGTCACCTCATTGAATCGACAAGGCGGTGATGCTTACCAACATTCACAAAGGCGTGCATCGGATACCGAAAAAGTACCGAGCTCCCGCCGGCGCGGACCGGTAGTTCCGTACCGGCCGCCAGAGGCGCCACTGGTACATAGCTGACCGTCAGTCGTTGTCGGAGCCGAACCATCACCTCACGGGGTCTACCCGTCAGTGTACCCCCTATAGAGCCGTCTGACCATCAGTCTCAAGTCACCAGGCTCGGAGTAACAGAGTCCGAGTCGAACAGACCCGAGGTCTAACCTCAGTCCTACATCCTCAGGATAGAGAATGCATACCTTGCCCCCATATCTTGTCCCAGCCGCGTCGTTGGCCTACCCGTACGCAGCCACTGAGTCGTCAGTTGCTAAGGGACATGACGGATACCAATGTAGCGTTCGACGAGCGTCCGGGGCTGGACCCGTGTTTTGTACTTACATAATGACAGTTTATGGTAAAGTGAATAAAGCATGACGAAAGCTAAACGAGGGCACTTTGCGAGGGCACTACAGTAGTGCCGCGACGGCGCTGCAGCTTTGATCAGATGATAACCAGCGGGCCAGGCAGGGCTTTATATAATGCATGGCAACAGCAACAGCTGATGTCTGTCCGTCTCTGTGTCCGTCCGGGTGTCCCCATGAGGCTGGTGTGTGTTTCTGCTAGTGTATACGGATATCTTCCGTCCGTGTCTGCCAGTGCCGCTGTCCGAGCCGTCACAGCGTCAATTTGAGTCACTCCGTCCCTGGCACGGGGCCAGCCGAATGTCAACTCATTAAGGAGCCATCCGGCCTACTGTTTTTGGTCACCGGGTGTTCACGGCACGCTCGACAGACCGCGAGGATGGCCGTCACGGAACGGGCGGACCGTGAGTCACGGAGCGATGTACGAAAACAAACCACCCACGGCGGTGAGGTCATTATGGAGGGTCAGATGACAACCCACAGCCCCCCGCAAACCAGTATAGAAGGAGCGGAATGTACACAACGGCGTACAAGCTCAGAGATCAGATACCACATTATAAGTCTAATCACATACTTGGTCGAACGGTTGTTGAATCACGAGACCACTGATCATGAGGGGGTGAGGTTGTGAGGTCAAAAAGGCTGGCCATACCGCAGCTTACTGGACGAATGCTGATTACTGACATATAAGGACATGACCGATTACGCAACATGTTGTTTTCGATATCAAATGTTGCTTACAATTCCGTGCGCCTGAATCAACATTGGGTTATTGATTACAGCCGAGTGGTCGTTAACCCCATTGTGTCATGAGCTGGTGACCGACCCACGGTCATCAGTTCTCACCAGTCTCCGATGATGATGCCCGGGTAGACCTCGTCGTACGGCCGCGATGGGAAGGCGATGACGCCGCGAGAGGGCGCCACCAGCATAGCGCGCAGGTCAGCCACAGTCAGCGGCGAGCGGATGTCGCGCCATGCCGTTCTGCCGAGCGGAGGGATCAGGTCAGGTCATGTTAGGTCACAAGCTGGGTCAGGCACAAGGTCACGAGCTGGGTCACAGTCAAGGTCAAAGTCAGAGTCACGGCCAAGGTCATGGTCAGTATCACAGTGAAGACTGGCGTGACCTGGACCAGTCCCGAGGTACAGCCCGGTTCGCGGTGGAGCTGGTGGTACTCCATCGTCAGGTCGGGGCGGTCAGGTCGGTGGGAGCGGGCCGCCGGCGGCCGCACAGCGGGGTTAGATCGATGCGCGTCATCCAAGGCCCGGGTTCAAGGCTGCATACGATCGGCCGCGGTTCAGATACCGGGCGCCGCTCCAAGTGGCCAGGGCCATTGATGAGAGGGAGAGAGAGAGAGAGAGAGAGAGAGAGAGAGAGAGAGAGAGAGAGAGAGAGAGAGAGAGAGAGAGAGAGAGAGAGCGAGCGAGAGCGAGAGCGAGAGCGAGAGCGAGAGCGAGAGCGAGAGCGAGAGAGAGAGAGAGAGAGAGAGAGAGAGAGAGAGAGAGAGAGAAAGAGAGAGAGACAGAGACAGAGACAGAGACAGAGAGAGAGACAGAGAGAGAGAGAGAGAGAGAGAGAGAGAGAGACAGAGACAGAGAGAGAGAGAGAGAGAGAGAGAGAGAGAGAGAGAGAGAGAGACAGAGACAGAGAGAGAGAGAGAGAGAGAGAGAGAGAGAGAGAGACAGAGAGAGAGACAGAGACAGAGACAGAGACAGAGAGAGAGAGAGAGAGAGAGAGAGAGAGAGAGAGAGAGAGAGAGACAGAGACAGAGACAGAGACAGAGACAGAGACAGAGACAGAGACAGAGAGAGAGAGAGAGAGAGAGAGAGGGAGTAAAGAGGAGAGAGGGAGAGGGGGAGAGAGAAGACAGACTGATATTTGCGCTCGTGACTCGAGTCACTCGATGCATCACACAATAGTCGCCGATTCTAAAACGTCCTTGATTCTATTCAATCCGATAACATTAATGAGCATAAAAACAGGCGCGGCTCGATAGCCAAATGTATGAGGAGTCACAAACCACTCAGAACATGCTGGAAGAAACGTGCGTTCAGTCCCACCATTGTTTTTCTCCCGGCGAGAACACAAGAGCTTATTGGGAATAAATCTGGTTTGGATGTAAGGTCACGGACAAACGCGCATCAGCAACTGAAAGTAAACATGGAGAATCAGGTGTGAGAATAAAACAATATTCCTTCCTAATTATAAAAATGGGGATGACAATCAAGACAGCAGTCCTAAAGTAGTGATTAGGAACAAAACAATCACCCTCCAAACCCATTTTGCAAACAAACAGTCCCATATCGACAAATGCACGGATCCCGAGCTCGTCTTACCTGCTGGTGAGCGCCATGGCGACCCGCCGAGCTCCTCAGCGCTCCGCTGTCCCTGCCGGTGTGTCGGGGGTCGGCTGGGGAGCCGCTGAGGTCACAGCTCCCTGCGCCGGCACTGCAGGACGCAGAGTGGGCGGCCACCACCGGCCGACCCGACCCCGACCCCCCGCTTCAGCTCCGACGGGCCCTATTAATAGGCGGCCCTTGAGAACATTGTGCCGCCGGGGACGGGTAGTGACTCGGGCAGTGGAACACCATCCCTCCCTCCTCGCTGTCAGTCCGTCAGTCAGTCCGTCAGTCAGTCAGGGCGGGACGGCAGCGGAGGGACGGGACAGACACTCATACGACACGGATTAAACAGGAAACTCGACACAAGTGGTGATCAATACGAGTTTATTGATCCCGCTTCGACCGCCATGGGTCATTATCACTGAATCACTGAGACACTGACACAACCTTTGTTACGCACAAGTTCACAGTCACGCCACATCGATCACACACAACTCACAGCCGTATCAGGTCCCTTCCGATCTAACCCCTGGGCCAATTGGCAGATGACGGTTGTGAGACAGCTGGCGCGCGCCTGTCACAGAGTGTGACGGCTGTCACCGGCTCCAACTTCCCAGCCCGTCAGTGACAGCACACACCTGACAGGGACGGGGCGCCGCAGTCAGCAGCAACAAACCGGGACGGGGAGGAGGAGCGGGGCGGGGGGGGGGGGAGAGGACGGAGACAGCCGATAGAAGAGAACACGTCAGCCTCGGCAGGAAAACAGGACACCGGACACAAGTGCCCAGAGAAAGTGGATCATTTCACTCGAAACGGATCCGGCCGCATGGAAATGGGCAGAGGATCATCGATAATATGCTCACGCTCTTATCGAATGACGGCTAACGTCGACACAGGCCGGAAAACGGACCAACAATGTCCCTGTTACTTAGAACTATGTAATGGCGTCACCAAAATATCACCATAAAAGACACGGTTAATGACTGGACATCGGTAGCGCATCAATCAAACCGGGGAACCAGTTTAGCTGAGCCGCAGCGCAGACGGAGAAGAGAGGATACATCGCGCCGCCGCTTCCGATACAAAGCTGGTTAGCTTTCACGGCTGACGGCAGAGTAAATTTGTAGCGGCCGTTCTGTCGAGAGTGACTCACTCCAGGCCATGAGTCAGTTCCCTCCCCCTGTCACACCCCATCCTTTGGCGACACCGACCGGCCGACGGTCCCAGCTCCCCCCCGGAGTCTCAGCCCTCCCCCCGCGCAGCTCCGCGCCGCAGCTCGGCCAGCTCCGGAGCTGCGGCGGCCGGCGGCGGCGCGCAGCTGCGGCGGCGCTCAGCTGGCCGCTGGCCGGCCGCCAGTCGTCTATTCTGGTCGGCGGCGGACGGACGCGGCGGCGTAGCACGTGCGCGAGCGCCGCGGTCGGTCGCTCGCTCCTGGACCGCAGACGGTGCGCCGGCAGTGGCGGTGACGCTGGCAGCGGCGCTCGGCGCGCCTCATCATGGTGCCCTCGCTCCAGCGGCTGATCGAGGTCGTCTTCGAGCTACAGGTGAGTGTTCTGGACGGAGTGACGCCAACGGAGCGGTACAGCCGCAGCGGCGGGGCTCGGCAGACTCCCAGCACATCACTGGACCAGAGTGGCGCAACTGCTGGCACCCGGCCGGTCGGTCGCAGTCTCTTTGTGTTGTCTTTGTGTGCGGCGGCCGCTCTGGATGGTTCTGCCTGCGTCACCGGCGCAGGGCGACATTGGAGCCGGTAAATAGAGCCACCCTTCGATGGACAAGTGTCGTGCCTAATCACTTTTCCAGTCACCAGGGCCGCATTTCCAAAACAGTACTGAGTACTGTCACGCGACAATAAATCAACAGCCGGAATGACAAGCTTGGCGTCGAATTCCGGACCACGAATTGACAGGTGCCGTTCACTTCGCCAACCGACGTTCCATGTCTCTTTGTGCAACGAAAGTTGAGCCCACATTTGGCTGGCTGTAAACAAAACACGATGTCACGATTCCTTATGGAAGTTCCAGGTTAGGTGCCCATTCGCACCCGATACGTCGCCCTTTATTGCCAGTACTGGTCCACCGTTCCCACGCAACTCCTATCACAGCTCTGAGCGGTGCAGGCACCGGACTAACCCGCGGTCTGCCCGGCTGAGTTCTGGGTCCTGGCCGCGGCTGGTCCCAGCCCAGTGGTCCATCTGACCCACCGGTGAGGGATCCGTCCCCATCACACAGCTCAGCGTCCCTCCGAGCGTCCGGCGGCGGCCGGCCGTCCATCACTCGGCGGCGCAGTGTAGGAGGTGGGCGCGCGCGTGCCGCACCTCCAGCTCCCACATCTGACGGTGGACCTCCGGCAGAGGCGCCAGCTTGATAACACTCAGCTGCGGCGGCGAGCCGCAGGTCAGCTCCCCCACCGCCATACAGTAGCGACCTGTCAACACATGACAGGAGTAACACGTCAGCTCCCCCACCGCCATTCAGTAGCGACCTGACAACACAGAAGCAATGCGTGAGCTTTCTCACCGCCATTCAGTAGCAGCCTGCCCGTACTGGCAACGCCATACAACAACCTATAACACCGCACACGATGGTCTCGTAGATCGAAGCATCCACATTCAATGTCGGTTTTCTGACCCACCCCGATCCCGTAATGCCCGTTGCCCGTTGTTCGACCCAGGGTCTCTCTCAGTCTCCCGTCCGGCCCATTCCATCCCGTCCATCAGCCCACCGTCCTCCAGGACCACGCAGCCTTACCCTATCCCTCAGTTCATGCGAATCGAGTAGTTCGCTCAGAGTTCGTGTCTGCGTATTTCATCAGATCATTTCGTCACCAGACACCTTGAGGACCAAAAGTGTTCGAAAATAGATGTAAATTTCTTGATTATAAGTTGCATAGTGCAGTTGCACACAGATCGTTAACGTACGACGCTGGCGCCGTTGCGCCGGCGGAGCCGTGTCGCCGTCATCGTCGCGTCGCTGACGGGGCCGGTCAATGGTCATTGCACATGTGTGCATCAGGTGGACCACGTGCCGTGGGTGGCGAGATTTACCCAAGCCCGAAGCGCGCTGCCGTCAGTGCGTTTTCTCTCGAACATCCTCCATCCGGGATCTAGCTCCAGCCCCGTCCCATCCCCATTCCATCACCCACCCAATCTCATCCCATACCTCTATCCGTTATTGGTCCCAAGCCGTGCCAGTCTCAATTCGTCAGCCACCATCTTCAGCTATCCAGTGTGGGTCCCCGCCCGGTCACCCACCGTCCTCCATCCAGTGCGGGTCCCCAGGCGCCGCCGTGCAGCCAGTCAGCAGCACCGAGCCGGAGGTATCCACCAGCGCCGCACTGTCGTAGTCGGCGCTGACGTTCCTCAGCTCGCCCTGCAGCCAGACGAGCCGCAGCTGCCGCGGTGCCCCGCCGCCGGCCAGGCGCCACTCAGAGGACTCCACCAGCTGACCGCCGGAGGACTCAACCGGCTGGCTGCCGTGCAGATCTCCGGCCAGAAGCTTATAGGCCGGACAGTCGAACCGCGCCATTATCTGTGGCAGTGGGAGTGGGTCAGTCAGTGTGTCAGTGTCTGGGTCAATTTTAGAGACATGTGACACTAACACTGCAAAACAAGGTACATTGCCACGAGATCTCCAAATTGCGCCCTGCACAGGGCCCAGAGGCCAGAGTTCAGCGCACGTCCAGCATAACTTCGCATGCGGGCGAATTCAGCGCATGGCGGTGGCTGAATTGTTCGGCGCAGGCCGCAGGGCGGCCGCTTGGCGCTTGCTCGATATGTTTTGGGGGGCTGTTGTTATACATTCCTCTTCTCCTACTAGCTCCAACCGCTAACTCCTCTTCAAGCATTTTACATGAAATTAACCTTTCACTTTACCGCGGTCATATTCCACTTTACGAGTAATTACTTTTCTCTCCCTTTTCTCAATTTTTCCAATTGGCTGTCCTCTTTTTTGGCCAAGGCCATCTATAGATGGCAATGCTGAATGCTGAATCACGAACTTATAGATGTTCATGTAAATACGTCTTATAAGACGTATTTACAAATTTTTTGTTTCGAATTTGTTTAACATAAAAAATACTGCAAACTGGTTAATAATATATTCATTAAATATCAAAAATTGTATTTTGCTTATAGATTTGGAACAAAATTTATGCCAATGATTTATAAGACGTCATTTATATTCTATATTTCGAAATCAGCTGGTTTCTCTACATCGAAAATATTCCCATTTGATATTTGCTTTGTTTATCAGATTGATGATGCTTATTACTAGATTTTTTTCAGAAACCCGTATTAAACCAAATTTTTACACAATATTTTTAATTTATGTAACATAAAAATGACATGGTATTACGTTTAAAAGTAATTGTTGGCAAACATTTCTTAACAAAGTTTTTATTACGTAATATAACGCGTCCACGAACTTTGCCTCCGCAACTGGCAACGCCTCCGCAAAATGCTCAAGACGCCAGCTGCATTTCAGAGACGTGACTCGAGAGCCGAGGATGGGAAACTTGGGCAACGTTTTGTGGTATGTGGCATGTGACCTAGTTTCCTCCCTATGTTTATTTACCCTTGGGATTGAAAGTGATTCTGGTAGTTTATGAATTTCAAATTGTTAAGGGGTTATAAGTATGAGGCAGGCAAATGTTCAAAGGTGTGGACAACCTTGAAGCCCTGGCAGCTGGTCTGGAGGTCATTGTCTAGGAGGGTGTGTATTTGTCAGCATATTTTCACTGATCTTTAGCTAGTGCTTAGCCTTGCCTGAAATATATTGCTTCAACACATGTTTGACCTCAATTGTGCCCGTTGGTGGCTCCAGGGCCTATTTTAACATGTTAACTGGGGGGGCAAATGCCCCCGCACTCAACAGAATTGCCCCCCCAGTTGTCGAGATTTGCCCACTTTAAAAATGAGCATAAAGGAACAGGGTCGGAAACACGGAGGTCCCCAAGCGTTTTCGTTTTAATTATATGAATCCAATTAGTATCACAACATCCTATAATCTAACTATCTAACATTCCCTGCCAGTAAAATGCAACAGCTTACCATTTAAAGCTGGCAAAATTGACCCCAAAACACCACATACCTTACCCCTCGCAACCGACGCTGACGCCATGCTGGTTACGGCGGATGAACACCATTTATAAACAATCAAGGCTGCAAAAATATCAGATGCGTTTCGCGTGCACAATTTTTTATCGCAGCCAGAAATGACAAACAATACCAAGGTTCTCAAATTGTTATGTCTAAAGCGCGGACAACTTTAAATTTGAGAAAGCGATTATTACTCGATGAAATTCAAAGAGGTGTCATAACCTAACCAAACCTAACCTAACCTAACCTAACCTACTGATTGTTGCCTACCAGGCATAAAGAAACCTAACCTAACCTAACCTAACCTAACCTACTGATTCTTGCCTACCGGGAATCCTAACCTAACCTAACCTAACCTAACCTAACCTACTGATTTTTGCCTACCAGGCATTAAGGAACCTAACCTAACCTAACCTAACCTAACCTACTGATTCTTGCCTACCGGGAATCCTAACCTAACCTAACCTAACCTAACCTAACCTACTGATTTTTGCCTACCGGGAATCCTAACCTAACCTAACCTAACCTAACCTAACCTAACCTACTGATTTTTGCCTACCGGATAAGGAAATAGTTACTTGCAGGAATAGATTGCAGGCAATAGTAAATCAAATATTTTCAGGTTAAGTGGTCATGCATCAGGCTTCAAAGCCAGATACATAACCATTTAACCTAAAAATATTTGATTTACTATTGCCTGTAATCTCTCCTAAGGCATTGCCTTCGGCACTGCACTGCTTCGCCACGAGTTGGCCACAGACGAAAACATGTACAGTACAGGCGAAGAAATGTTGGACGAAGAATGAAAATATGTACAGACAAAAAAGTGCACGGACCAAAAAACGAAAATAAAGAAAATGCACGAACGAAAATATTTACGAACGAAACATTTCTGAAGACTTTTTCAGAAAAGTCGCTATCATTCGTCGACAGATCTGGCGCATTTCGTGAGGCGCTTTACCGAAAAAGAAAATTACCGAATTCTCTTCTATAAAAAATTAAAAATACAGAACCGTATTTCCAAAATTATTTGTGTATATCTATCAATTTTTCATAAAAATAGTACCCCCCCCCCCCCACCCAAAACCCCGGTTTCCCACAGTTCCCCTAGTGTGTTGGGTTTTATGAAGATACTACATTTCTGCGTAATGGTATTTAACAACAATTGACATGTTGACAACAGACCGTCGTGCGGCTCCACCGAGATCGTGGTAAGAATAGGGAGTGTCTAAAAAGCAGACGAGATTAGCAGACGAGCCCATGCTCAGTAACTACTGGACCGATTTTGATAATTCTTTCACCATTCAATAGCAGGGAACTTACATAGGTGCCGTTTTTCGTTTTTTGGCGATTGGTTCACTCTGACTGGACCAATCGGACCAAAATGGTCCAGAACCATACACCCCCTTAAAAGCAGACGAGCCCATGCTCCGAAACTACTGAACCGATTTCGATGAAACCTTCACCATTAGACGCGCCGTGGTCTGAAACGGTGCCGTTTTTGATAATTTTTTGATTGGTCCACCCTAAGTGGTCCAAATCGGTTCAAAACCGCTAAAATCTGTTGCAGACGAGCCCATGCTCCGAAACTACTGGACCGATTTCGATGAAACCTTCACCATTAGACGCGCCGTGGTCTGAAACAGTGCCGTTTTTGATAATTTTTTGATTGGTTCACCTGAAGTGGTCCAAATCGGTCCTAAACCCCTAAAATCTGTTGCAGACGAGCCCATGCTCCGAAACTACTGGACCGATTTCGATGAAACCTTCACCATTAGACGCGCCGTGGTCTGAAACGGTGCCGTTTTTGATAATTTTTTGATTGGTCCACCCTAAGTGGTCCAAATCGGTCCAAAACCGCTAAAATCTGTTGCAGACGAGCCCATGCTCCGAAACTACTGGACCGATTTCGATGAAACCTTCACCATTAGACGCGCCGTGGTCTGAAACGGTGCCGTTTTTGATAATTTTTTGATTGGTCCACCCTAAGTGGTCCAAATCGGTCCAAAACCGCTAAAATCTGTTGCAGACGAGCCCATGCTCCGAAACTACTGGACCGATTTCGATGAAACCTTCACCATTAGACGCGCCGTGGTCTGAAACGGTGCCGTTTTTGATAATTTTTTGATTGGTTAACCTTAAGTGGTCCAAATCGGTCCAAAACCCCTAAAATCTGTTGCAGACGAGCCCATGCTCCGAAACTACTGGACCGATTTCGATGAAACCTTCACCATTAGACGCGCCGTGGTCTGAAACGGTGCCGTATTTGATAATTTTTTGATTGGTCCACCTTAAGTGTTCCAAATCGGTCAAAAACCCCTAAAATCTGTTGCAGACGAGCCCATGCTCCGAAACTACTGGACCGATTTCGATGAAACCTTCACCATTAGACGCGCCGTGGTCTGAAACGGTGCCGTTTTTGATAATTTTTTGATTGGTCCACCCTAAGTGGTCCAAATCGGTTCAAGTACAGCCCAAAAATACGTTTTCACGTAGTCAACCGATGCGCTGGTTTCCGCAGCGCGGAGGTGCCCCAGGCCCAATTAGCATGCATTTTTGCTCTAGTTTGGAAAACAAAATGCATGACAATGGGTTTGGGGCACCTCTGTGCTGCAGAAATCTATCCGGACTCTGACAAAGTACAAACGGGTTTTAGGCATTTTGGACTTATTTGGACCACTTAGGGTGGACCAACCGAAAAATTATCATAAACGGCACCGTTTCAGACCACGGCGCGTCTAATGGTGAAGGTTTCATCGAAATCGGTCCAGTAGTTTCGGAGCATGGGCTCGTCTGCAACAGATTTTAGGGGTTTTGGACCGATTTGGACCACTTAAGGTTGACCAATCAAAAAATTATCAAAAACGGCACCATTTCAGACCACGGCGCGTCTAATGGTGAAGGTTTCATCGAAATCGGTCCAGTAGTTTCGGAGCATGGGCTCGTCTGCAACAGATTTTAGCGGTTTTGGACCGATTTGGACCACTTAGGGTGGACCAATCAAAAAATTATCCAAAACGGCACCGTTTCAGACCACGGCGCGTCTAATGGTGAAGGTTTCATCGAAATCGGTCCAGTAGTTTCGGAGCATGGGCTCGTCTGCAACAGATTTTAGGGGTTTTGGACCGATTTGGACCACTTAAGGTGGACCAATCAAAAAATTATCAAAAGCAGCACCGTTTCAGACCACGGCGCGTCTAATGGTGAAGGTTTCATCGAAATCGGTCCAGTAGTTTCGGAGCATGGGCTCGTCTGCAACAGATTTTAGCGGTTTTGGACCGATTTGGACCACTTAGGGTGGACCAATCAAAAAATTATAAAAAACGGCACCGTTTCAGACCACGGCGCGTCTAATGGTGAAGGTTTCATCGAAATCGGTCCAGTAGTTTCTGAGCATGGGCTCGTCTGCAACAGATTTTAAGGGTTTTGGACCGATTTGGACCATTTAGGGTGGACCAATAACAAAATTATCAAAAACGGCACCGTTTCAGACTACGGCGCGTCTAATGGTGAAGGTTTCATCGAAATCGGTCCAGTAGTTTCGGAGCATGGGCTCGTCTGCAACAGATTTTAGGGGTTTTGGACCGATTTGGACCACTTAGAGTGTACCAATCAAAAAAGTATCAAAAACGGCACCGTTTCAGACCACGGCGCGTCTAATGGTGAAGGTTTCATCGAAATCGGTTCAGTAGTTTCGGAGCATGGGCTCGTCTGCTTTTAAGGGGGTGTATGGTTCTGGACCATTTTGGTCCGATTGGTCCAGTCAGAGTGAACCAATCGCCAAAAAACGAAAAACGGCACCTATGTAAGTTCCCTGCTATTGAATGGTAAAAGAATTATCAAAATCGGTCCAGTAGTTACTGAGCATGGGCTCGTCTGCTAATCTCGTCTGCTTTTTAGACACTCCCTAAGAATACGATTAGTTAGCTTTTGCTCTTAAAATTATCGATCAGATAACTGGAAACCACATAATTCTTACTAAACATGAGTTTCTCTATAGAATGATGTCTATATTATAGGGATTAACTAATTTTGAAGCGGGGACCTCCATGTGTACCGCCAGGAACAGGGTAACAAACATACTACTGTGACTTGTTTTGCAATGGATGTCAAATGAGTCAGTCTGCAAGTAATGACCAGTGGTGGATCCAAGGGTGGGTCATATGGGTCATGACCCCCCCCCCGCCCCCTTGGGTCCCGGGGACACCACAGGCCTGCCAGGGGCACTACCGGCTTGTCAGGGGCACCACAGGCCTGTTGGGACTGGGAGCACTATCGGCCTAGCAAGAGCACCATAGGTCTGCGCCAGGGGCACCACAGACCTGCCAGGGGCCCCATCGACCTCACAGGGGCACTTTGGGCCTGTCAGGGGCACCACGGGCCTGTCCGGGGCACCACAAGTTTTTTTAGGGGTACCACAGGCCTGCAGGAGCACCATCGGCCTAGCAAGAGCACCATAGGTCTGCCAGGGGCACTACAGACCTGCCAGGGGCCCTACCGGCCTCGCAGGAGCACCACATTGGGCCTGTCAGGGGTACCACCACAGACCCGCCAGGGGCACCACAGGCCTGCCAGAGGTACCACAGGCCTAGCAAGGGCACCACGGACCTGTCAGCGACACCACGGGCCTGTCGGGGGCACCTCAGGCTTGTCAGGGCCAAGGGACACCATCAGTCCTTTCAGGGGCACCTCAGGCCTGTCAGGGGCACCAGAGGCCTAGCAGGGACACCACATGCCTGACAGGGGCACCTGCGGCCTCGCAGGGACACCTTGGACCTGTTAGTGGCACCACATGCATGTCGGGGACACTCCAGGCTTGTCAGGAGAACTACAGTCCTGTCAGGGCCCAGGGGCACCAGCGGCATAGCAGAGGCACCATCGGCCTAGCAGGGACACCACCGGCCTCGCAAGGGTATCATGGGCCTGTCAGGGGCACCATGGGCCTGTCGTTAGAACCTCAGGCTTGTTAGGGGCACCACAGTTCTTTCAGATGCACTGGCGGCCTAGCACCATGGCACCATGTTTGGCCGGGATCGCGATTCGGCGTATGTCGCCTGGCATTAGCCGCGCGTTTGCATATGTCGCCTGGCATTAGCCGCGCATTTGCAGTCTTTTCGTGGTTTCAAACGTTCAAACATGGGATATGATGTTGCTCCCATGCATTAGGGTGGGTGTCAAGGTCACCGGAAGGTCAGGTCAGGTCATTTACCTTTGATGACCTCGGTTCACATTTTCGAGTTTTATACGTTTCTAGGCTAGTTTTTTAGCTGAATTCGAATTTAGCAACCATTTGACCATTTACGAAGTAGTTTTGGTGCCTTCGTAACATGTTACGAAACTGTCAGAGGCGGTTGCCACCTACTACGAATACCCGGCAAAACGCTTACTGGTTGACCTGACCTGAGCCTGACCTGACCCGACCTGGCCTGAATGCATGAAGACATCATCTATGATGATAACTAAGTACTAACATGATATTCGTGATCAGCTCCCCGAAAAAAAAAACATAGCACCCACCCTTTACGACGCTCTAACAGGTTACGATTTTCCCGACGTTTGGGTCATTGACCTGACCTGGAAGGTCAACCGATGACCTAGGACCTTAAAATTGGGTATCATCGGCTTACTGTCATCACGGGCAGCACGGTCGTTTTTTTTCCGCGAAGCTCTGGCTCGATCAGGGGCGAAACGGCAAGGGGGAGGGTCCAACGGACCTATACGTTCGCAGCTGGAAAACACCAATACGGGCGAGGGTTAATGGATTATTAAAGACAATTTTCCAGGTTGCCCCCCCAGTAAAATTCCATTAAAATAGGCTCTGGGTGGCTCGGAGGGTGAGTAAAGACGAGAGAAAGAGTGGGGGTGCTTACACTGCTTACTGCTTTATCCTGTTGTTGTTCTTGGCTAGGTGCCTACCTAGTACCTACCTCTTAATGTGCTCTTGCTCCTTACTGTTACAGCTGGTGGCTGATCAGAAATTGTGATGAATCATTTGTATCTGCATACTGCTAACCACCTTGGCCATCTCAGGCTGCACCATTTTGCTCCTGCTGATGGATAAGGACCATTGATGTCAGGCATCAGCAAATTCCAGAGTGCAAAGCATGGGAGAATGAGGTCAGAGCTGCACCAGTTGATATGGAAATTTTGCACCAGCCTACTTCAGCAATCAGCAAGGCTCAGGCTGGAAATCTGCTTCAGCCTGTATTGAACAAGATCTACATATTTTGCTCTAAAGTTGAGAAAGTGTTGTTTGGTGGTAAAAACTGTGATTAAACACCAATTATTTATGAATGATCTGTTGAGTCTTATATGCATTATATTGTTGAGTAATGCTACACTAGAGGGCTGTTCACGGACCCTGTGTGCGGTCGGACCGCACACAGCCTCCAAGCTCCGCCCACTGCGTCCCTACGTCAGCCTTCCGTCACCGCACACAGCGACCGCTGTGGCCGGTCGGGACTGGCCACAGCGGACCGTCCACCGCACGCAGCCGTGACGTCAGAGCCGCCTACCCATCCCCTACCCCCACGCCTGCTGGACGCACCGCACACAGCGCACGCAGCAGTGTGCGGTGCCCGTGAACACCCCTTAGAATAGTTGTATAGCACAAAGCTATTATTGGGCCCATAGGTACAGTCCTTGCTAGTTGCTGTTCCATGCAGGGTTGGAATTTCACTTTTTTGTTCTGGTAGTGGAGTACAAAATTTTTGGGCCAGTGGAGTACAACTGTACAGCATTGGGGTGGTCGATTGCATCTGCAGCTTCCATGCCAAACCTGTACTGCATTGTGCACTGGTGGCTAATAGCCTCAGCACCAGGAAGAGCTAGTGGACATTGTCATGTTTTACATATGAGGCTGGGCTTGGACTTGGACTTGATGGGTTCGAGGAATTGCCTTAGCAAAGGCTCCTCCTATTCTTTTTAAAACCTAAAACTATCACGCTATGAATTGGTTAGAGGTGCAGTACAGTATTGAGCTCTTTTTTGCCTTCTACTTCTTAACTTCCACATGCTGCACAAACTGTTTCTTTTCTTCCATACTCCTTTTATCATTATCAAATGCCAGTTCATTTTGATGATGGATATAGAGCAAAAAAAAAGTGATGAATGGTGGAGGGAAATTAGGAAAATGACATCTGAGGTACAGGCTAGACTTGAGCCTACCATTAGTTGACCTTTTGCTGATCTCTTTTAACCTATCTTGCTCTCAGCACTCACAGCAGTCAGCACTCAGCCCTGCTCTAGAATTGACCTTTGTCCTGGTTTCGCCCCTCATATATGTTTCTACCAGTTTCTACATCATTAATATGGTGCTTCCAGCTTCCAGAAATACTATGGTTTTTGGATACCTAATACCAAACCTGTGAATATCCAGTAGCATTATCAAATATGTTTCTTCTTAAATATGTCTGCTTTAGAAACAAGCCCTATAATTTGACTTTGCTGTAATCTGTGTGTATTGGGTGAGACCCAGAAAGCTGTGGTCTAGGTGATCACAGCAGAGTCTCATTGCAGGGATGATACTCTTTCTGAGATGTGACAAATTCTGCAAGCAGTATGTCTCTTATGGCTAGAGCCTGGAAGTCATTAATTATCAGCGAGCAAATGCACCACTTGGCTGAGAATATAAGCAAAACAATGCTGCTCTGACTGATGCTCCCCTGCTGGTCATCCTTCGATCGTGATCACTGAGTTGTAAGCCCCCACAGATGGCTGGCTCACCCTACCAGGGACGCCGGGTCACGGTACGGACTGACTCGCCCCACCCACCACCCGCTGATTGACCTAATCTCTCCCCTCCCCCACAGAGGCGTAAGAAGGAGTCCAGAATGGAGGACGACCAGTCGTCGGACAGCTCTGTGGAGGAGCTGCCGGCCGGCGGCTCGGAGCGCTACGGCTGCAAACACTACCGGCGCAAAGCGCGCCTGGTGGCGCCCTGCTGCGACAAGGTCTACCCGTGCCGCTTCTGCCACGACGAGGTCGAGGACCACCAGCTGGACCGTAAGACGGTGCGCGAGGTGGTGTGCGCCGCGTGCGGCCACCGCCAGGGCATCCTGCAGACCTGCACCAACTGTGATATTGTTCTAGCCCAGGTGAGTGTCGGGTGACGGCGGCCCAGAGCGACCGGAGACGTGCGAGATGATAGGTTCTACATTTTAACAGACAGCGATACATACAGTACACATTGATCTTTGTATCGTGAAGCATGTCAATATCAATACCATTGATGGACTTCTTTTCTCATGTCTTGCCTTTCAACTTTTATTTATTTGCTGTGTTTTTCAGTTTTTTTCACGACCAGTTTATGTGCATTCTTTGTATCCGTGTGTTCGACAGTATTTTAGCCGTGTGCCGACTGCCAACTGTACCCTAGTCTGATGTGTCTGTCTGTTCGGCAGTTTTTTTTGCGCCGTGTGCCGACTGTACCGTCTGACATCCATGTGTCTACACGATGTTATTTTTGCGCCGTGTACCGACTGAACAGTTAAAATGTGTGTGTTGGGCAGTATTTTTGTGCCGTGTGCCGACTGTACGACGATGAGGACAAGAAGCAGTACCACTGCAGCGGGTGTGGCATCTGCCGGGTGGGCGGCCGGGACCTCTTCTACCACTGCGACATCTGCGACATGTGTCTGCCCAACAACCTGCGCGACAACCACAAGGTAGGGTCTCACCGGCAGCGCAACAACCTGCGCGACAACCACAAGGTAGGGGTCTCACCGGCGGGACCACAACCCGCCGCCACAACCACAAGGTAGGGGTCTCACCGGCGGCGCTACAACCTGCGCAACAACCACAAGGTAGGGGTCTCACCGGCGGCGCTACAACCTGCGCGACAACCACAAGGTAGGGGTCTCACCGGCGGCGCTACAACCTGCGCGACAACCACAAGGTAGGGGTCTCACCGGCGGCGCTACAACCTGCGCGACAACCACAGGGTAGCGGTCTCACCGGCGGCCCAACAACCTGCGCGACAACCACAAGGTAGCGGTCTCACCGGCGGGACCACAACCCGCTGCTCCCCGCGTAGAGCCGTGCCGCCGCGGCGCTGGCTGAAACCCTATTAATGTCAAGTAAAACTGAGACTTATGGGAGGCTGAAATCATGGCAAAAGCTGGCTGGTCCATTTTCTGTTTAAATTCAGATCAGTTACTAATGCAGTCTGCTGGTAATTGTTTGGGTCTCGGATATGTATGTTCAGGGCAGTTTAAGCTATGGCCACTTTGACACGTCCACCTACTTTGATCAGAGTGCATGAGGTACAATAGCAAAGTCTGCCTGTTGTCAGGTGCTCGTACCTCTGCGGTATATCTGATAGCGCTGCAATCGCCAACATTCATGTCCATTGATCACTGCCGATTTATCATTGAACCTCACGGCTTTAGTTAGTCACCCACCCAGTCCATAAGCTGCTGGCAAATTACTTTTTCAGGGGTGCCGGAGGACATAACTTCCTCCTGCGTGCGGCGAACCGCCCTGATCTCTGTCCTGCTCAAGTGGTCGGTCCGGTCTGCATGGTGATCAACATCGTCACCAGTTATCCTGATACGGCGACGGTTAAATCAGCAGACGATTGCACCTTCCTCGATGGCCCCTGGTAGCACAAACCTGTCCCCAACCCAGACAGGGCTGTTCAGTTTCTGGCTGCTGATAACCCGCGCTCTTTACATGATCACTTATCGGACCCAGTCAGTGTATCGAGTATCGACAGCTATCACAGCTCATCCCATCTGTACCTTGACCCGGCCTCGCCCCGCCGCGTCACCCACCGCTCGCCGCCCCTCCCGGTCCCGTGTACCTCTGACCGTGTCCTCCCGCCTTCCCTTCCACTCCAACTTCCCTCCCCGTCCTATTGATCTTCTCATTCCTACTGTGTGCTCTGACCCTACACACGCTCCGCTCCTAAACCTGTGCTCAACACTGACCCCTGGTCCGTTGTAGCGCTGATCCCCCCCCCCTTATAACTGGGTCCTTCATCCATCCCTCTGTTGTCTAAAACTGATCCCCGACCCTCCGCCTCCCGTCCCACTCCCAGTGTGCTCTCCAGCTCACCCCCGCCCTTGCCTTTTTCCTCCCCCTCCCTTTGCCCTCCCACTGACCCCGTCTCTCGGCGCCGGCAGTGTGACCCCCCTGACGACACTCACCCCCCCCCCCCCCCCCGGCAGTGTGTGGAGAAGGCGAGTCGCACCAACTGCGCCGTCTGCATGGAGGACATCCACACGTCGCGCATCTCCTCGCACATCCCGCCCTGCGGACACATGATCCACAAGCCGTGCTTCCGGATGCTGGTTGACCGCGGCTACTACGCCTGCCCCACCTGCAACGTGGCCATGTTCAAAATGGACTCGGTGAGGACGGGGAGGGGACGGGAGGAATCGGGGAGAGTGGGGAGGGATGGGTGGGACCGGTGGGGACGGCTAGGGGGGTGAGTGGGACCGGTGAGGACGGGGAGGGGATGGGGTGGGTGGGACCTTTGAGGACGGTTGGGGGGTGGGGTAGGACGGGGGAGAGCGGGGAGGATTCAAGGGACCGGGTGAGGACGGGTGAGCGAACTGACTGGGAGTCGTAGTGTGAGGTGTGCTGCTGGTGAGAGTATTGGGGTGACGGGGCTGGCGAAATGTGACTGCGTTGGTGAGAACCGGTGAGCGGAGTCGGTCAGAGCAGGATGTCTTTGTGAGAGCTGCTGGATGGTGTCAGTGTGAGCGGGCGGGCAGTCTCGATGCGAGGAGGACTGGTGCTGTGAGACGCCGGCCGTCCATATGCATTATGTATGATACACGCACCAGATGGCCACGTTTTGACCGATGAGCTCCGTACTGGGGCTGAGTGGGACGTGATGGCCGCTCCGTGCTTGACTGAACCGCCCCAAATATGGCATTGGAGGATCGGTGGCACGTGAGCTGTCACTTTACAGATGATCGCGCTGTGCTTTTCATCATCGTCCGATTTTAATGGCGATTTTTGTCGTCTTGTCTCGTTAGTCGTTATCACTTTTCCTTTGCTCCACATGAGTTCACATGAGCTGGGTTGATATTAGGCAAAAAGTGTCGGTGAATGAGCATTAATTGTCCCCTGTCAGCGGTGTATAGGGTCAGTGAATTGACACTGTGATACACTGAGCCGTGTCATGGTGGGGTGTTTGTGGACTCTGACTGTCCCCTCCACCCCTCCCCTGGCCAGGTGTGGTCCAAGCTGGAGCGATAGCCGAGACACGTACACTGACTGCCCATTCCTCTCCTCTCCAGGTGTGGTCCAAGCTGGAGCGATAGCCGAGACACGTACACTGACTGCCCATTCCTCTCCTCTCCAGGTGTGGTCCAAGCTGGAGCGATAGCCGAGACACGCACACTGACTGCCCATTCCTCTCCTCTCCAGGTGTGGTCCAAGCTGGAGCGATAGCCGAGACACGCACACTGACTGCCCATTCCTCTCCTCTCCAGGTGTGGTCCAAGCTGGAGCGATAGCCGAGACACGCACACTGACTGCCCATTCCTCTCCTCTCCAGGTGTGGTCCAAGCTGGAGCGATAGCCGAGACACGCACACTACTGCCCATTCCTCTCCTCTCCAGGTGTGGTCCAAGATGGAGCGATAGCCGAGACACGCACACTGACTGCCCATTCCTCTCCTCTCCAGGTGTGGTCCAAGCTGGAGCGATAGCCGAGACACGTACACTGACTGCCCATTCCTCTCCTCTCCAGGTGTGGTCCAAGCTGGAGCGATAGCCGAGACACGCACACTGACTGCCCATTCCTCTCCTCTCCAGGTTTGGTCCAAGCTGGACCAAGAGGTAGCCGAGACCCAGATGCCAGAGAGGTACCAGAATTGCTACGCAAAAATCCTATGCAACGACTGCCAGACCAAGTCAGTGGCGCCGTTCCACATAATCGGCCTCAAGTGCGGCGGCTGCGGCTCGTATAACACGGCGCGCGGTGACGGCCCGCTCTACAAGCGCAACGGTGAGCCACGCGCAGCCTCCGACGTCACAGACGCGGCCCCCGCGCGCGACAGTGTTTATTCGCGGAGAGTTCGAGATGGGTGACGTCACACACTGGAGTGTCGCAGTATGTGACGTCATTGTACTCGGCTGCCGTTCCGGGTAATCGTAAGCGCCTAATGTCCCGCCGTCTGGACGGCATTGCTAGCAGAGGGCCCACGTGCTACACATGTGTTCTACTCTGTGAGCTATTCGGGGCTGTGGGTCGGCACGCGTTTTGTTTTGGGTGTGTTGTGGGAAGGGGACGCTGCGGGCGCTGCAGCCCTTTCACTGTTTAGGTTATACGACCTTTGCTCTATCTCTGGTCTGGCGCGTGGCGACTCTCGCGTGGTTCTAGAGTACTGGGCCAGTTACGATGTTTACGAATCTGTATCCTTTCTACTCATCAGTAACCAGCACGGTCTCACGTCCTCTGATCATCGGTTCCTCTAATGATTCACAAAAAGTAGGTAATGGCTCAAGTCCCAACGCGGGGACAGTGATCTTAGTGTGCTCTCATTGGAACCTCGCCTGCTTAGGGAGTCTCCTTTTTGTGTCTGTTGTTCTTATTCGTCTCCGGTTGCCTCCGTCTTTGTTGCAACTTCTGTTTATCTTGTTTGCCATCAGCTGTTAGTTTGTTTGGATTATCTTGCCTCCTGTTCGTCTTCCTCTGGTATTCGCGGATGCCTGACGCGACCATCTGACTGGGTCCCCGTCTGAGCTCCATTTCATCCAATGGTGACAGGTCTGTCTGTGCTCCGTTCTCGGGGTGAGCTGGCTCCGTTCTCTGTTTCAGCCAATGGTGACCGATCTGTCTGCTCTGTTTCAGCCAAAGGTGACCGATCTGTCTACTCTGTTTCAGCCAAGGGTGAGCTGGTGCCGTTCTCAGGCTGAGCTGGCTCCGTTCTCTGTTGCGGCCAAAGGTGACCGATTTGTCTGCTCCGTTTCAGCCAAGGGTGAGCTGGTGCCGTTCAGTGAGCTGGACGATGACGACGGTGAGCCGGAGCCGGTCGTGCAGCCGCCGCCGGCCGCCCCCGCCCCCGCCCCCGCCCCCGCCGACGAGCCGGCCGACGCCGAGGAGCAGCACTGACCGCCGGCGGCGCGGGGTCACCGCGCCGGCCGCCCGGCCGAGGAGCGGCCGCTGACCGCCCCGGCCCGGAGGTCCACTCGCAGAAACAGATACATTTATAGCTGGTATTCGCTAGAGCGTGGCTTAGTAGTGACTAGTGGTAAATTAGCTTAGCGAGAGTGGCGAGTGGTGGATTTTTGAGAGCGCCAGTGGTGGCCGAGTCTGAGGGGCCGGCCTGCCGTTTATCACAGTCACGCCGGGACCTTTGGGGCGTCTTCTCCCCGACCCCGGCCGACGACGTGCGCTGATATTAAGGTGTATATGACGCGGAGTGTTGGCGCCAGGAGCGGCTGACGGGTGGCCGCCGCCCGCCTCGGTGCGGCGCCTCCGGGCGCGCCCGTGCGTCCGTGTACTTCTCAGGGCGTCTGTGAGAGTCCCGGGCCGCTCCGGGCGCCGGCGGACGTCCCGGTCACGTCCGCGGGCGTCGGGTCGGCCCGGCACACTTGGAGCCGTGTCGGAGCGGGGGGGGGGGGTGTCTGCGCGCCGGGCGGACCGGGCTCGTCACTGCCCGGGCGGCCCGGCGGCGGCAGCACCGGCGCCGCCGCCAGGGCTTTCTGAGAGTGACCTGCGCCGCCGCGCGGCGGCCCGCGGACCGCGGGAGCTCGTCGCCGGGTCTCGGACGCCGGTCGAGGCCGATCTGTTTATTGACGGCAAATTATGCACTGGTTGATGTGTATGACGATTTGGACGGAGCTGTTTTGGTGACGGCCGGTTTCTCCCCTCTATCGCCGTCTTTCCCCCTTTCTCTGGCCGTTTCACTGCCTTTGTGACTAGCACCGCATGTCCTGGACTGCCTGTGCTTTTGGACTGGTTTCTTTTCCTGTCTGGTAGCTTCTAGGAGTCTCAGTGAGCGCCACTAAGGCCTTTGCACCGCGGCGGTCCAACTCCCCCGCCCCAGCCCGGGGCGGACGGTTTTATTTGTCGGTGCAGAGGCTGCACTGCACCGTACTTGACTATTGCGTGTTTGTTTTGATGACGCGTCAAATCGGTCGTTTTCGCTTTTCGATTCACCTTAGTTGTACTTTTATGCACCTTAGTTGTATGCAATGTGAACTGATATCTCGAGCGACCTGACAATAAATATATGAGTCGGAAGCTCTCTGTTCAGCTAGAGTCGTGACCAATCGACCGAAGAGCTGTGGCAGCATGGCAAAAAAAAAAAAAAACGCAAGATTCACCACCGACCAGTATGTGGTATTCCTTTCAGGGCGATATGGACCTCCCGGTATATGACTCAGGGCCTGGGTGATATCTTAATGGCTGTGACTCGGCCACACCTCGGGAAGGACCTTGGACTCTGTCCCCGCTGCTGAATCGAGCAGTTTGGCTTCACTTCCGACCAATGCACCTATCTCTCTGTGCTGACGTTTACGTTTTACAATGTACGGTATCGGAGTTAGAGCGATACAGCCACTCTGTAGTCAGGTGCGAACCTGTTCAGTTGTCTCCAGTGTCAGTACTGGAGCAGAGCGCTGAGAGGCCACCCTACTCTCGCCCAGCGGCGTACTCGCGCCAATCCCGCCGTGTTGTGTCGCGCGGCTCGCGCTGAAGCCTGTCGGCTGGGTGACGAGGGCGCTGACTCCGATCGATCCGGGCCGTCAGGGCTCACTCAGACCTGACTGACACCTGTGTACAACCGTACACCCCTGGCCACAGTCCATATAAGGTGAGAGACGCGCGCGGGCGCACAGCTGCCGACGCAGCGGCCCGCCGCCGACTCGCCACCCGGACCGGCCCGATAGCGGCGCTATCCGCGCGAGAGCCGCCGCCGGCCGTGAGGGGGCCTCACTCGCCGGCCGAACAGCTGTGCTACAGGTGGTGTCCGCGGCCCGGCCGGCGCCGACCCTGCCCTCGGGCCCACATCAGTCGCTCGCCGCCGCCGCCGCCGGCATGTACAACTTCGGCAGGGACGAGGCGCGTCTGTGGCGCAGCACCACGCCGCGCGCCGCGCCCCTCGGAGGGTCCCAGGTCAGTCTGCGCTCCCGGACCGACAGCGGGGATGGCTCCACCCTCAGCCTGCCCCGCGAGAGGGCCATCGACGTACCGGCCAACTTCGTCGCCAAGCCGAGACGAGGGGTCGCCGAGCGGCCGGACCCTGCGCCGCCGCCGCCGCCGGAGGCCGCCAAGAAAAAGAAGCGGAGGCTGCCGCGACTGAGGATCCGGTTCACCCGTAAGAAGCGCTCGGCGCACGTGGAGTGGCCGCCGGAGGCGCTGGAGGCCGCCGAGCGGGCCGGCTCCTCCAGCCCGCCGCCGTCGGTGGCCGAGCGGCCGCCGCGCGACCCGCGCGTCAGCCGGCTCGCCGAGCGGCCGGCCTCGGGCGCCGGCGACGACGTCACCTCCAGCGGCCTGGGCAGCTCCTGGGAGACGGGGCTCAGCGTGGGCTCGTCGCCGGCGCTGGAGCAGCCCGGCCTGGCGCGTCACGCCTCACTGCGCCGCTCGGAGCGCCGCACTCTGCGCGCCGGCCGCGGCCGCAGCGGCTCACCCGGCTCCGACTCGTTCCGCCGGACTGTGTCGTGTCCGGACGGCCTCGGCTGGGGCGGCGGCGAGACCGAGCACCCGGCCGTGCCGCTGCCATCAACTAAAGACGGACAGCGCGCAGAGGAGGCTGCAAACCCAGACCGGACAGCTAGCCTCAGCTGGGGCGGCGGCGAGACCGAGCACCCGGCCGTGCCGCTGCCGCCCGCCGGCGCCGGTACAGAGACACTCCAAGACCACGACCGCACAGCTAACCTCGGTGGTAACGGAGATGCCACAGTCAGTGATACAGCAGCCAGTGTCAGCGCGGTGAGCAGCTCCGCCAGTCCCTCCGGTGGGTCAGAAGGCCGGCACACGGTCGGCCCATCTCCCAACCCTCCCACCACGGATCACGGCGCGCGCCCGGCGCCGGCCGGCTCGGTCAGCGTGGAGCGGACGTTCGCCGCTCAGCTGGCGCACCTCCGGCCGCTGGCCGCCGGGGTCCGCCACTACTGGAGACTCCGACACGAGGAGGAGCGGCTCGGGACATTCCACGTGCACGAGGCCAGTGTCGAGTTTGAACAGCTGCCGAGGAACATCCAGCCATTCGTGCTTTACCACCGACCTCTGGTGGCCGAAATCAAAACCTTCTGGGCGCAGAAGAGGAAGGCGCTTCGCGCACGGGCCAGGAACTGTGAGTCTGCGAACAGTTCAGTAGCCAGTGAAGAGTACAGTGCGTACAGTGAGCAGTACAGCGAGCGGGACGGTGGCGCGGGCGGCGATGGTGCTGGCGATGATGCCGTAGAGATTCCCGTCCAGAGAGATGACAGCGAGCTGGCGAAGGGAGACGAGCCACGACATCGGGACAGTGACAGTGCGGTATGCCGTACAGACACTGCGACTGACTCACACGGCCTCAGTGACACCGTGCGGCCCGAGCCACCGCCAGTGCCCGACGCCGACACAGTGCGTCAGGTGCGGGCCGACCTGGACAGTCTGCGACCGCAGCAGGACTTCGGGTACGTGCTGACGCCGGTGACCCGGTCCCGGCCCGCACCGCCGCGGCGCGCCAGGTCGGCGGCCGTTCGGACAGTGTCAGCGGAAGCGGACGAGAGCAGAGGAGGAGACGAGCAGGCTCCGTCAGGTCTGAGCTCGGACCTCTCAGGAGAACCAGAGCGTGCACTGTCAGAGACGATATCCGAGGCGCCCCACGAAACATCACAAGAGGTACCAAAAGCGCTACCACCGGACCAACCAGAGGTACCATTTCAGACAATGCCAGAGGCAGAGGCACCACCGGATGCTCTGTCAGAATCTCCCAGAGAGAATTCGGACCCGCCGTCTGTGACAGATCCACTTGCGACAGCTTCATCAGAGAGCGACCACGGACACGCGTCAGATGGGTCAGATCTTACAGAGGCAGATACAATGCCCTCAGTGAGTAGACAGAGGTCATCTCCAGTCATAATCCCAACTCCGGAAGCAATCGTAAATACCGAGAAGCCTACCGTATCAATGGTAAAACCGGCGACTTCAGATCCAGCGCCGCACTCTGAGAGCGAGTCACCAACAGCTGAGGATCCCTCCACCGCGCAGACCAAGCCGCGCCCCCTGAAACCTGTCGTCGCGGCCAGCCCCATCAGGGCCTGCTCCCTCGACTCGGGCGCCGACCCCGGCAGCCCCCGCTCCGGACCTGACTCTAAGCCCTCCGGACCCGACACGGCCGACAGTGAGCGCCGCGCCGCAGAGCTCAGCCGGTCGGCGTCCTTCGCCAGCGCGCGCTCGTTCTGGCGCTCTCTGCAGGACCTGCGGCCGATCCAGGAGAGCGACCGGCTCAAGAAGAAGGTCAGTTTCCGCGAGCAGCAGGTGCAGCGCCGCCTGGACCCGGTGGCCGTGTTCTTCCGACACCTGCTGCACAAGAGCGAGTCGGCGCAAGAGGTAAGCCGCCCGCCGCCGGCCGAGGCGGAGGGCCGGGGGGAGCCGCACCGCTCCACGCTGCCCGTGGAGCCGCGCCGCCGACCGGCGCACACCCACAGCCTGCCAAACGCCGTGGTGGCGCGGGTGGAGCCGAAGCCGCAGCGGAGGTGGCCGGGGCGGCCGGAGGAGCCGTCCGACCGGCGCTGGATCCAGGACCCGCCGCTGAAGGAGGCCGCCGACCCGCCGTCCGTGCGCCACCTGCGCCAGGCGCTGGGCTCCAAGCCGGTGCAGCCGGTGGCGCCGTACCATCTTCAGCGCCAGGCGCCGGCGACGGCCAGCAGCCGGCGCTTCATCCGGCCGGGCGTGGTGCGCCGGCTGCAGGCCCAGTTCGAGGACCTAGCGCGACAGCACTGAACCAAGGAGCGGCAGCACTGAACCATGTGCGGCAGAACTGAACCGTGTGCGGCAGCACTGAACCAAGGAGCGCCAGCACTGAACCAAGGAGCGGCAGAACTGAACCATGTGCGGCAGAACTGAACCAAGGAGCGGCAGCACTGAACCATGAGCGGCAGCGGCAGCACTGAACCAAGGAGCGGCAGAACTGAACCATGAGCGACGGCACTGAACCAAGGAGCGGCAGCACTGAACCGTGTGCGGCAGCACTGAGCCAAGGAGCGGCAGCACTGAACCATGAGCGGCAGAACTGAACCGTGAGCGACGGCAACAGACCTGGTGCGACAGAACGGACACGGTGCTGTAAAATTAAATCTGGCGCCACAGCACTGAACATAGTGGGTCAGAACGAAACTGGCAGGTCAGAACTCAAATAGGTGCGCCACACCTAAAACTGGTGACCCCCGCGCCTCGCTGAGTAAACCTGCGGTGCCAGTGATCCGTCTGTGAGTCACTCGCAACACGCGAGGAAAACATGACGAATAGGGCGGACAGCGACGACAAAGCGTGGACAAAGAGATAACTGCGAGCTTTTATTGCGCGTCGGGTCAAACCGCGCAACAGCGGCGTATTGCCGGGAGCCGTGCCCGGCAGTTTTATGACGGAGAGTGTCAGTCTCAGGTGCCACGGGGCGAGATGTTTACGATTTACATATCGCCCGGTGCAGAGTAGTTGCTGAGCTGGTGTTAGTAGCTCGCACCCTTGCTCAGGTACTGAGCTCGTAGTCGCGGGTCGGAGGTAATTTATTGGGTCGTTCAGTCTAAGTGATACTTGGCAGGTCCTTGGTATCCATGTCAGGGCAATGAGAAATACCATATGGCTTCGTACCGCGTGCTCGAGATAAGATATCTCGAGATAAATGACTTGCTGCTACGGGGAGGGTCTATCTCGGCTGTGGTTTTATCTCCCGTGCCCACAATCTCCTTGAGACGGAGGTGGTAAAATGTAATATGGCCTAAGCCATTTATCAGCTCGCCGGAGGTATCTAGGCCACGCAAGGCCCAGCCACCTACCATGAAGCCGGCGGTAACGTGAGTGTTTTAGCGTGATGTTGCCTGAACGTCACATCCTTCCACATTCTGAGCATTTATCAACAGAGCTTCGGAAAGCATAGCGTTATTCATTGTCACATGACATATTTAACCCTCGCATGTGTGCGGCGTTTTCCAGCTTCTAATGTGTAGGGGGGGGGGGGGGTCGGTTGGACCCCCCCTTGCCGTTTGGCCCCTGATCGAGCTAGAGCTTCGCGGAAAAAACGAGCGTGTTGCCCG